CTGTTTGGGTTGGTGGGAGATCGAGCTTAGTGGAGTGCATTGGCAACATAAATTTTGTGAAATACGTCGAAATATTGGAGGAAGGTCTCTTGCCACTTTATTCCTCGGGTTTCGTGGACAAGAACACAATGTTGTTCCAGGAAGATGGAGCACAGTGTCACACTGCTAGAAACACCCAAAAGTGGCAGGAAGAAAATGGCGTCCAGAAGTTGCCCTGGCCGAGCCAATCTCCTGACACGAACCCAATCGAAAACCTCTGGGTCATACTCGACCGGCAAGTCAAGAAACAACCAAAAAACCAGCTTCGAAGAGCAATCTACTCCAAGTTTTAAAGCAAGAGTGGGCGAAAAATCCCACAATCTAAAATTGACGAGATGATTCTCACGATGCCCCAAAGGATCAACGAACTCCACAAAGCGAAAGGAAGATCTACTAGATATTAATTAAATTATAAATATATCAATTCATGTGAATATGACTGAAAAATTAAATTTTTTCTGAAAAGGTGGTGTCTCTTTACTTGTGACCATGCTGTGTATATTTATTACTTTTATTATATTGGTGACTGTATGTCATTTAACTCTTTCAAACCCTCACAAAAGAAAAAAGTAACAAAGTAAGAAGTAAACAATTAAGAACACGGTGTTTCAACGACTTGTGCAGAACAGAACAAACACGGGATATTCTAAAAAAATCAATCAACACTGAAAAACACAAGTCTCTACAAACTGGGAATCACGTAATCCATTTCTTTATCCTAAGATCTATCTTAATGAGAAAATGAAAAAGTAGTCAAAACATATATATATATATATAGAAGTTTTCAGTTATAAGAACCTTCCAAGTGATGGAAGGCATATACTCAGGACCACAGAGACTTTATAAAGTGCTTCAACTCACTAAATTTGAATATTATATTACACGTATCTAATTCTTACTTGTTTATGATTTAAAAGTTCAATGTCTATAATTCATCTACATTTATTATTTCAGCAACATGAGTGAAATATTCTGTCAGTACACGTAGCTTTCTTTTGTCTTCTAAGTACATCTAACTGTTATCTTTAGTAGCGAGAGATCCTAATGAAGTTTTAAAGTGATTTTAAAAACAATATCATTTATTGTGTAAGAAAGAAATTAATTCAGTCATTTTTAAAGTTCTGTTTTCTAGCTCATATTACAAAAACTTATAATCGGTTTTTCACCAGTTTCGTATCACACATTAAGACAAAACTAACCTTCTTCGGAAGACACACAATCTGCTTCAACATCGCTGTTTTGAAATTTTGATGCTAAAGTCAATTTTGTTTTAGTAACAGCCTCCTTCAATTCATTACATATTTCATCACAATTATGGTTCGACATTTCACTGCCAGCTCCACTATTCCCCAGATCCTCATCGTCTTTTGGCAAAGAAATATTAGTTGCAGAAGTTTCTGTTGTTATCTGTGTTGAGCTATTAAAATCTGACGTCGGTACAAGGAAATATCCTCCATCATTCGTACTTGGTGTCACATTTAAAAAAGTCTCATTTTGTGAATTCATCGACACATTTGGGGAAATATTCTTGTCTTCTAAAAAACTAAACGTATTTTCTTGTTCAGTTGTATCTACAGTCTGTTCTTTTAGATTACCTTGCTGTAAACCAACATTGTTTACTCCAAGCTCTACGGGTTCTGTAATATGTCTATCTATACCTTCAATTTGATCATTTCGTCCAACACTGGTCTTCTCCTTGATTTCATTAACTGTTGATTTATCAGTGTGTTGGATCACATTTACAGCATTCTCTATAGTGTCTTCAGAGTAATATCCTATATCGATGGAGAAATATTAAAAATTATTTAAATTTTTTCATAATTTATAGGCACTATATTTTTTCCCTTTAAAATGTGCATGTTAATTAATATCCACTTTTGTTCTATCTTTTTTTTGGTTTGTTTAACCATCTTTACTGTAGTTAATTACACTACTTTCAGTTAAACAGAAACTACTTCCACTTGGGCTACAGTTTAAACTTTGTGTGGTTCTATACACAATTAGTTGTAAAGTTCAAATTATCAATAACCTACCGTTAGTGTTACCGTTATTTCTGAGGAAAGGTAGTAGCCTTAAACATTAACTGTATTATTACTAATATTAATAAATACACTTTTAATTACTACAACTATGCAACATTACTACTGCCAGCTATGGTATGAGACCACTCAACTCTACCTTTGAAAATACAGCTCATATAAATACAACTGGTAGTTATTTAGAAATTATATAATTGTTAACTCTATCAATATCAGTCTATGTTCAATCATCAAAGTCTGTCTATACACATAAAAAAAAAAAGATATATATATAATATTTATGCCTAAACTCTGTTTATCTAATCACAAGTAAAACCATGTGGTGCATATGCAAAGTAGAAAAAAAATTAATTTTACAATAGTATCTAAGGCTTGTATGATTTTTCTATCCTTAGTTTTAGCTCCGTTAGGCTTAACGTTAGCGTTAAACAATATGTAGGCCCATTCAAGTTACTATTTCAGTCGGCTTTCGCAACACTGCTTGAACATATATGTTTACATTATAAAGTGATAGTTAAAAGTTATGGGTTTTAACTTTGCAAATTTATATTTATAGACTAACACTTTGAAATAAGATTAGTAACTTCATCAAGTACAACAATTTGAAATAATATAGTAAAAAATATTTTTAAAATCAATTTAAAAAACACTAATTTTAATTTACCATCTGCACCATTTTGTCCTCCAGGATTATAACCCTCACTGTCAGCCATTGCAAAACCTAGAAATTAATGATGACGTGTATATTTCTGTGTACTTCTTTATACTCATATTCTGGTTAAAGACAAGTATGCTATTTGAACTTCCAGTTACATTCAAATATTTTATATGTATATAGTTGCAACATAAAAATATTTAATTTAAAGACAATAAAAATTACACAGAGATAATTTTCCTATAGTAATTAAATTTATTTTACTGTAAGTAAATAATCTAATTTTCATGTATGGCTTAGAAAAAAAAAATGTTATTTGAGAATTATCATCATTTTACGCGTGTGTTTTGTTCTTCCAATCAGCTGGTTGGGTAACCAGAACGTAGTCTTATGGTTAGCGTATCAGAGTAAGTATCGTGAGGTCCAAATTTCAAGCTGAAATGTGTCGCTCAACACGTTTTGCACTTTGGTTGTGTGCGAGTTATAAATTGTGACCGTCAAGTCCTGCCATTCCAATAAAAGTAGCTACATAAGGGGCTAGTAATGCTGACGATTGACCTTGTTCAGGTCAACAGTTATAATGTTGTAAGGCTGTAAGCTATATTTTTAATGTTTTAATTTAAGTGTTAGGTAGAGGACGCATGACTTAGTTATTTCTAGAATGCGTGGAATGTATTAATTTTGACATTATGAAAATCTCGAACATTGGCAACTATCAAGAAGTGGGCCAACGCATCAGATATGAATACTAATTGACCATTCCATTAGTAAGTTAGCTACGAATCAGTTAGGTTCTCCGGTGGGACAGTGGTAAGTCTAGAGTATTACAACGCTAAAATCCAGGCTTCGATTCTCCGCGATGGATATAGCAGATATCCCAATGTAGCTTTGTTTTTAACTTTAAGCAAACAAATAAATGAATCAGTTTTGTTTTCAGTGGTTGTGTTCCAAGGAAATACTTGGATCAGTGTTAGTTATCAACTTATCGCGTATATTCAGTTACTCGATCATTATCCGTGATATTATAGAAAAAAATTATTTTTTACGTTTATCATAATACATTTAGCGAGGGGTTTTCGTTTGAATGTCATTTGTGAACTTAGGCTAAGAAGTTACAATATTGTTACGACAGCGGAAGTCACGTGACGTTGGTAACACGTAATTGGTATCTAGAAGGTTTGCGAAAAACGCAAGTGCGTGATATGCACGCATTTGTGTTACGACAGCGGAAGTCAAGTGACGCTGGTAGCACGTGGTGAGTGTCTAGAAGATTCTTGAAGAGATTACGCAGGCGCTATTATTGTATATAAGTGCACTAGACAAAAGAGAGAGGGAGAGTGGGGGAACCAAGGACAGCAGTTACTGTCGGTGGGAACAGAGAATAGCAGATACAGAAATCGGAACTATAGTTGCTGACAGGTGGAGATAGAGACGGACAATTAAGTCAAGCATGGTTGTAAAGTGAGTGAATTATAGCGTGTGTTTAAGTTAAAGTAACAGTGGAAATTAAGTGCATTGCAAAGTTGTATTGAGGAAAAATAAACTAGTTTGGTTTAAAAAAAGGACTTATATCGCAGGAAAATTAACAAACGAACATACAGAGACGTAGCAAATTGGTGTCAGAAGTGGGATTGAAAAGATAAAAAAAATGGAAAAGAGAAGTGGCAAATCAAACTACAGCTTAGCAGATCTGATGGCAGCAATACAAGAACAGCAAAAGAAACAAGAAGAACAGCAAAAGAAACAAGAAGAGAGATTACAACAGCTGTTGGAGGTAAAAGAAAATAAACAAGAGAGATTACAGCAGTGGATGGACGTGAAAGAATATAAACAAGAAGAAAGTCTCCAACAATTAAGAGAAAGCCAGAGTACACAAATGGAAAACATTAGTAAATTTCAAAACGAATTAAATACATTAAAGGATGATTTACTGTATTTTACACAAGGATGATACATTAACCATCGACTTAATCACACCCAGACAATGGCAAGCCCCTTTCAGACCCCGCAGCTAAAACCTAATGCAGACATTTTCAGTCCTGTTAGAAGTCACATCCCAGATACAAATGTCAGCAATAGGGGTGATCTTGTATGAAGGAAGCCAGAGGAATTTGATGGGAAGGCACCGTGGGAAGCATACAGAGCACAATTTGATCTCCTGGCAGAGATGAATGGATGGACAGATGAGCAGAAAGCAGTATATCTGGCAAAGAACTTGAAGGGACAACCACTGGAGATACTTGGACAGTTGTCAGCAGACGACCGCCACAACTTTATGGCACTGGAAGCTGCTCTAGAACTCAGATATGGAACCCAAAATCATTCTGAAGTCTACAGGGCTAGGTTTAGGATGAGAGTTCGTGCTAAAGGGGAGAGTCTGCAAGAGCTGGCACAGGATTTGGAAAGTATGGCACACAAGGCCTACCCAACTGCACCACCCGATCTCCTCAAGTTGTTGCTGAGGGATCGGTTTGTAGATGCCTTGGACAGTCCACAACTGAAGATACAAGTAAAGCAAGCACACCCCTCTACTATGCAGGATGCAATGGCCAGAGCTCTTGAATTTGAATCCTACGTTAAGTCCAGCACAGAGGTACCAAAGTTGGTACAGTCATTAGGATTCAAGGCCAGAAAGGGGCAGCTTTCAGAGAAGTTTGAGGGACTTTGCTGGCACTGTAATAAACCTGGGCACAAAAAAGCTCAATGCTGGAAACTTCAACACAGAGAAGATGCCATGGCAGGAAAGGCTGCTACCCAGAAAGGTTGTTGGAACTGTGGAGAGCAAGGACACATGAGGAGCCAGTGTAAGAAGAATACTACCTGTATCGCAGGAAAATTAACAAACGAACATACAGAGACGTAACAATATCTTGTTGAAACATTGAGGAAGAAGTAAATTAATTTGTTATCGTTACGTGGACTGACTGGAATTCAAACTATTTTTACCCCCCCCCCCCACAATGAAAGAACAACGTTATAACAATAACTTGAACTGAGTTAAAAATGGCTATGCTTGATCCTTACGGGTCTCGTATTTAACTGATTATATCATATACCATTGACCGGTCCGGAGACATTGTAATATCCCAAACATAGGACTTGCAGGACAGAAATTTAAAAGGATTTGTTTGTTTTTAATGATGCACAAAGCTACACAAAGGCTATCTGGGCTCTGCCCACCACGGGTATCGAAACCCGGTTTCTAGCATTGTAAGTCCGCAGACATACCGCTGTGCCACTGGGGGGCAAATTTAAAAGGAGAATAATGTATTGTGAGATCTAATGTGATCTAATGAGATCTAATAGGAGTGAGGAAAGACTCAGGGATGGAAATTAACAGAGGAAAATTCAGATTTATTATAAATTATATCACATATAATTTTCCGGAGCACTCTCATAACCAGTCTCTCTTATATTATTCTTGAATATTGCTGTGTATATATATTCGAAATGTAGTATTGTAGGTTATATTTATTAACATTTTGTTCACTAGAAAGTCTTCTATATTATGCAATAATTACGTGAAGTCTAGAAGGTTCAGAAATGTTTAAATTTAAGCCTTGGTGACATCTCAACATTCATGAAATGAATGAGTTAGAATTAATTAGTCAAATCCAAATTAGTTAAGGAGTTTTAATTAGACAGCATGAGTTAATATGTGTTTTAAATGGTAGAGTTAGTTGTTCAGTGATCAGAAAGTTAATCAGGAAGTCAGTCAGCATGTTTGTTCTTTTTGCAAGCTACAAGTCCCAATTTTTTAATTTAGTCGTTTGGTAGAGAGAGATATTTGCATGATAATAAAACTTGATTTTAAAAATATAAGTTGTCCTGGAATAACTAGGATGTGACAGTTTACACAGTCCTGGAATAACTAGGATGTGACAGTTTACACAGTGAAAGTTGTCCTGGAATAACTAGGATGTGACAGTTTACACATCCTAGTTATTCCAGGACAGACTGTCACAACCCAGTGAGCTTATTGACTCTCTATATAAGTTGTCCTGGAATAACTAGGATGTGACAGTCTACCCAGTGAGCTTATTGACTCTCTATATAAGTTGTCCTGGAATAACTAGGATGTGACAGTCTACCCAGTGAGCTTATTGACTCTCTATATAAGACCAGAGGGAAGGCAGCTAGTTAACACCACCCACTGAACAAACGTCCTGTTTGGATGTGGTACATAGAGAGAGACCAGAAGGAAGGCAGCTAGTTAGCACCACCTACTGCCAACTTTTGAGCTATTCTTTTACCAAGAAAAAGTGAGATTTACTGTCACATTACAATGCCTCCATGACCGAGAGAGTGAGCATGATCAGTGACATAATTTTATCCCACGACCCTCAAATTTCGAGTCTAGCACCCCAACCACCAGGCCATGTCAGGCCTTAGGATCATTAGATTGATTAATATTGAAACTCAACCCCTCTGACAATAGTCTAGAAGAGCCGAAAGGATTAGTTAGACGACTAGTTACATAGAACTAGAGGAAATAAACCATAATACAATAGATATTTTAAGTGTAACTTTAAATGACATATTGCCAGGAACTACAGACAAAAGCCTGTATGGTATAAAATCTCCTCCTGGGAACTCTTATATGTGTGGGAAACATGGCCATCAACAGTTCTTAATTTATTAAGGAGACAATAACGTAAGGATGAATCTTCAAGCCCTATCAGACCAAAGGAAAAACAAAGAGCTAACAAAGCAACACAAACAAGGAATTAGCCAAACTTATGGGGCAAAGCTCAGCTGAGAATATTCAATGTACCACATATGAGATAAATTCATTAGTTAAAGAAATCGGTGCATGAGTTAATGGGTGGGACCCTTGTAGTATGTTGATTGACACTCGTTCTAAAGCTACAGTAGTTTGAACCAATTTGTTAATGAAATGTGGGGAATTGCCCCAGAGATGAAGAAAGAAGATGGACAGAGCTGTCATCGATCTGAAATATAAAGATGTTGTCATTAGGACCACGAACACAACAAGACAAAATTCAAGTCAGATGTGAAGCTGTATGGGTAGTACTTACTTCCACATCATTAGAAGTAGTCGTCTTCGAGAAAAAATGTAAGAAGTCTGATATCAAATTCTCACACAAAGACAACTTACC